GCAGAGGCCAGTACACCTTATTTTTTCCATATTGCTTCATAGTTTACTTTTTGTTTTCTAGGAGTGACAGTTCAAACCACATTGCAAAATATTAATATTAAAGAAGATATGTTCCCAACTCCACCCAGCCAAATACCAGATGTGCATTTCTTTTATAAGTAAGTATAGATCCTATTTACCTTGATTGGTTTTTCAGTCAAAAGGCTGCCACTACTGTATGCCTTACACAGCAATTTACATTTACCTAACTATCAATAATTGATTCTAAAGTGAGAAACTGAGTAAAAAGTCATAAACAGAATACTTTGAAAACCTTATTTAATTTCTTTCATGAACATCATCTGTTAAATGTGACTTTAAAGAAACTGTACTTTATAATCTAGGCAGTAAATATTTATAAATCACACATAAAAGGCAGTGAATATTTATAAATCACACATAAAATCATCAGTCTAAGTACATATGACCTGTATTCCCTTTTTTAAATTATATATTTTTTGCTTTCCAGTGCAATTGGTATTTATATGAAATGTAAAGTGTGTAGACATAAGGTAGTTCCACGTAGCAAAAAAAACATGACTGAAGGAGAAGTCAGAGCAATAATAACACATGATTATAGTGACTGTATTAAACACTTAATGCTAGCTTATCACTTTACCTTTGGCTGTTGTAGCAAAGTTTTCTGAAGCAGTGAAAGACAGTGGGCTCAACTTATATTAAAATTCTAACTCAGTGAACTTTGATGCAATTTTTCTTTTCATTTCTTCATGCAGCATGGGTGCAGTTATACATAGGATATTTTTGTCTTTGTAACCTATGTCGTATCTTTTAGTAAAGTATTTCCCTTACAATAGATCTTCTACAACCACAACATCGTGCATTAATGGCCGGTCAACTGCTGTGAAAATGAGGTGTAATCCTACTAAACCAGGAGCAGGACTGATTTCAGTCCCCAGGTATTTTTATTTCCTTATAATTATATCACATTGTTTTTATCATGAAGAAGCAAAACTCTAGACAATCTTTTAGAACATACTCTCTGTTCCTGTAAAGCAAAAGATGACAAAGAATCTCCATATTTTTGCTGTTATGATGTGTTGAGTGTCATGATGTGACAGATTCAGAGGAATACTGACCTTGCCTATCTCAACACTGCTCAGACACATCAATTGTATAGTTTTTTCATGTTTGCCTGAGTATCTCATTCTCTCAAAGATTATTGATTGTTATGTAGTTTGTATCCCTGTGGTACGTATGTTCTAGACTCAGTAACTTTCCTGAATCATTGTTCTCTATCTGTAATGAACTATTTGAGTGATGCAGATCAAGCAGTCTGTTCTCTAAGTCACGGTCTATTTTTTCTAAGGAATAGGGATAGATACTTTGTCTGATGCATTTCTAACTGTTCAATTTGCTGGCTAATGTTGGAAGAATATGACCTATAGAATTCATAATGCAATTCATTTAATTTACTGGTGTTGAGAAGACAGCTCTTCATGATCTAGAGATGCTGATCAATATATTACACTTGGGTAGGAACATCAGGAGAAAAACATCCATTTCACGGGCTGCTTTAATGGCATGAGGGATATTGAAATGTCTGTTGGTTTATTTTTCATGGGTATTTGTTGTTCTGTAGATAGATTATTTTTAATCTTTTTAGTATTAAGGTGTCTTTGTATCAGTTTGATTTACAGACTTTTTTTTTAAGATTTATTTATTCATACAGAACTGGGGAACAGGCCAGAGATGTGGAGGGTGAGAGGATTCACCAGAGACAGAGCGAGGAACAGAACAGGCAGATCGACAAAGTACACTGCTGAGGGGAGCAGCGGGCGGGTCAGGAGAGGTCTGCCTCGCCATGTGGATCTCCTCCTGGGAAGGCGGGAATCGAACTCATGCAGAAGTGGCTTTAGCTTCTCAGTGCTGTACTTTAACCCACTGCGCCACCAGGGAGGGCCCAGATTTACAGACTTTTTAAAAACATCAAACTAGTGAAGGTATTTTTGGAAAGAAAATTATGGACTTCATTTTGTTTTTGACAGTTTGACAGTAGCCTTTCAGAGATTTTAAACTACGCTGTTTATGGCATATTATGTTCAGAAACCAGCAGTCTTCATTGTTTGAACTTTTGTGCATCTTAAAAAATATTCATAGTAGTAACAGTATTTTAGTCTTATATCTGGGTATATAAACACAGTAGCAGTCACCAATTACTGTGTTCCTCTGGTCCTCATAGATTTACAAATTTTCTTTTTACCTTTTTTTTTTTAAAGATTTATTTATTTATGCATACAGAACTGGGGTACAGGCCAGAGGTGCAGGGGTGGCGAGAGACTTCACCA